GGAAGATAGATAGAAATCATGTCGGATGCTCTGATCAATGGATTGGCTGGAGCTGGTGGTGGGATCATTGCTCAACTTCTCACTTATCCTCTCCAAACTGTACGATTCTCCAAAATTTTCCCCTTGTTTTCTTAAGGATAATCTTCGTCTTGTTTGAAACGATGTTGTCTGTTTTTTTGTTGTAATCGTTGAATTTAGGTAAATACACGTCAACAGACGGAGAGGGATCTGAAGAGGGAGAAGAAGAAACTTGGAACTTTTGAACATATGTGCCAGGTTTTTGTTGTGTTTCTCCTCAATGTTAGGATCAAAGGAAGATTGTCTTATTATTGGTTTATTGGAGGAATCTGTGAGAGCTTGATTTACTGGATTTGGCTAGTTTTAGAGATTATACTGTGATGATGCGTTATTTTGTATGCCATGTTCTTGAATTGCTTTGGTTTTGTATTGAAGGTTGTGAAGCAAGAGGGATGGGAGCGATTGTATGGTGGATTGGCGCCGTCTCTCGCTGGAACTGCGGCATCACAGGTTACATTCTCTCGCTTATGTATAGATATCTGTACTTCTCGTCATTTTACGGTTTGAAGTTTAGAATAGAGGAAAGAAAGTCTCTGAGTCTTTTTGATTTCTTACTTGCTTGCACTTTTTGGATGAGATAGGGTGTGTACTACTACTTCTACCAAGTGTTTCGGAATCAAGCGGAAGCAGCAGCTCTTGCACAAAGGAAGAAAGGGTTGGGTGATGGATCAGTTGGGATGTTTTCTTCACTTTTAGTGGCTGCCTTAGCTGGGTAAAACAGCATTCCTTTATGTGATTCTTGTTTATGTTAGCCTTTAGCCTGTTACAATGCTGATTATCATTAGTCAGCAATGCCATACAGAAGTTTTTGAATGGTTGATTTGATCAGTTATGATTAAAAATAGCACTTAGGTGATTTGCTGTCTTTCTCGTACTCTTCACATTTGCTGTCTGGAGTGTAGGCTTTAAGTGAAGGCTTGCCACGGTCACATTGCTCTTATAGTGTTGCTTGTTTAATGGAATTTCTTGGTGCATGGTGTAACTTTTACTGTCAGGTCCTATAGTCAGAGTTGTTTGGTTATTTGATTGTAAACTTTGGTGGCATTGCAACCAAAGATTAAGCATCCATACTTCATTAATGTTAACTTTCTTCTATTGCTTATGCTTGTCTCATTTGAAGTAAGATAGCTCTTTCTCTGTGCAGATCAGTTAATGTTCTTATGACGAATCCAATTTGGGTGATTGTTACACGCATGCAGGTATAAATGCCTTCATATACACCAGCCAAATGTGCTTCTTAGGGTGTCTAATCAATTTCGCTGTCTTTTTTAATACATTTTTTTATTCTTGAAAGTTTTAGTTTGCATTTAATCACGAATCTATGAGTTTTCTTCTCCTCACTTCTGTTCCCCCGTCATTTCTCCCCCTGACTCTTCTGAAATACTTGTATACAATGCAGACCCACAAAAAAATGCCAAAACATCAAGTCTCTGAGTCACCTTCTTCTGATGCAGAAGCTCTGGTTGCAGTGGAGCCGCGTCCATATGGAACATTTAATACGGTATGAGACAGCTTCCCGCTTTTACAAACCAGAAGAAGTTGCCTACAGTCATATTGGTTATTATGAGTCAAATCTTGATGAGAAACTATAGCTTCAGCTGATTGCAATAAAAGATTAAAACTCATTTCGATCTCTATAAACATTTCAAAACAATATTAAGATAGTTTTTTGTGATATACGTTGAACAATGTCTCAGATTCAAGATGTTTACGACGAAGCTGGAGTGACTGGCTTCTGGAAAGGTGTAATTCCAACTTTGATCATGGTACGTGAACTTAAGCTTTTGCAGGTTCTCTTATATCGTTTGCATGGGTGAATTTACTGATAGTTAATGTGCTTGTTCTTTTTACCCGTAGGTAAGTAATCCATCAATGCAGTTCATGTTGTACGAGACGATGTTAACAAAGCTGAAGAAAAGACGTGCCTTGAAAGGTAGCAACAACGTAACCGCTTGGGAGGTTTGGACTCTAGCTAGCATTTTGCAATTGTTTCCTTTGAATAAAGATGTTCCCTGCTCATGATTTTTTTGTTCCATAGACATTTCTTCTTGGAGCTGTGGCTAAACTCGGAGCTACAGTCACAACTTATCCTCTCTTGGTTGTAAAGTCGCGACTTCAAGCCAAACAGGTCACAACGGGAGACAAAAGGCAACAATACAAAGGTTCTTGTAATGATAATAAGATCATGAAAAGGCCAAAAACTCATTTCTCAATTCAAGGGTCTATGGAAGCTGAGAGTTTCTTTGTTTTTTTGGGGGGGGGGTTTGAATTTACAGGAACATTGGATGCGATTCTGAAGATGATTCGATATGAAGGGCTATACGGATTTTACAAAGGGATGAGCACAAAGATTGTTCAGAGCGTTTTAGCGGCTGCAGTTTTGTTCATGATCAAGGAAGAGCTTGTGAAGGGAGCTAAGCTGTTGCTCTCAAACGCAACCTCTAGCAAAGTCAAGTCCAAGCTATCTTGAACACAATCCAATGTAGGATTTAGAAATAAGATTGAAATAAATAAATTAGATAAAATTTCCAATAATTTATTGATTAATTATCTCACTATTGGGAATGTTGTGTATTTCCTGATTATTGCAATCGATTATTGTAATTTTCTGCAAGATTACTGGATTGGACGTTTATATATCTTTAGTTTCTTATTATAGAAATTTCACTAAAATTTGGCAAATTAATTTTGTTATTTTCTTAACATGCTTTTTGATTTGTTTTGTTCTTGAATTTCGTTATGGTACTATTTGCACTTTGTACCTAA